TTATTTGTGGATGTCTGCAGCGGTGTTGGGCAGAGCTGCAGCAGCTACCTGCAGTTTGGTTGTTGCTACGAGTCTGATCCAGACATGCAGCACTGTATAGCAAGCCGTTGTAGCATGTAATTCACAGACGCTTCTATATTAGAATCAATTAAGACTGGATTATGTTGCCAACCCTTACATGAGAAAATCTATATGCCACCATTTCATTGTTACCCATAAAAATTAAATGTTAGTAGCATTTCTAGTAGCTTACTACTGAACATGTTAATGAAATAATTAAATTCTACTGATTTATAAATAGATGTTATTTAGACTAGGATGAGTGATATTAGTACAAATTTTAAAAGTTAATTAAATGAAAGTCAAATTTTGTTCCATAAAATTTATATATAGAAGGTAACTAGACAACATGAGTTTAATACATATTTTTTATAATTGTTTTATTTTTGTATTTTTAGCAGCAGACCAAAGTCTTGTTTCACTTGAAACATCGTCAAATATAATACTCGATTAATCTTTGGAGGATTCGGTAGAATACTCGAATAGTAAAATATTTGATAGCTGCAGTCCTAGTTTTATACAAATGTAGAGTTCTAATTATTTACATGGTTAAGTAACAGATAATCTAAGCAGGTGTGATTTGCACATTAAAATTGTTACTAAAAGATGAGAAACTATGGATGTGTCCTCAAGTTGAAGTTATTTGAAACAAAAATCGAAAGAATTTGAAACTAAAAACTGAGCTTGTTTTCTCTACGTTTATCTTTAGGATCCAATTGAATACTGGACAGCATTTGGCCTTTTACAGTCACCATGCAGTGATGAGAAGTAATTGTAATAACTTTGAAGTTCTGTAATCTGGTGTTTCCTTTAAGAACTGTAATACTGATGTTCACTAAAGTTGTTCAAATAAGCCAATGGATTGGAAGTGCAAATTGTGTGCAGTCACCTCAGACACCCGAGCACATTTATTTAAGCATTACCGTTTGAGCCATAGCATTTTTTCTAAGATTAGCCCATTGCCTTGTCTCTATGACTCTTGCATTTGTACATTTAAATCTTTTAATGCATTGAAAATCCATTTGTCACGGCTTCACAATGAGCCATCTAAAACTGGTGCAAGTCAAGGTGCACAAGAAGTTGTCATTTTTACATGTCCCTTGTGCAAATTAAAGCAACCATTCTCAGAGACTGCAATATTCAGCCATTTAAGAAGGCACCTAAAAAACCACGAGAATGTGGCTTGCCCATATAAAAACTGCACTTACCAAACAAATGTGTATTCATCCTTTAATACACACAAAAGTAGGGCACACGCAGGTAGTCAGGGCATTTGTGATGTCCTTGTGTCAAACGAAAACAGCAGGCCAGTGGAAAGCACTAGTGACTTTGCCGTTGAGGATGTTAATGATGAGCATTTGGACGACTTGGCTTTTCCTGAGGTAGACAGTGTTTGTGATACCAGGCAGTTAAGAGCCCAGTTACACAAGAACTTGTCTTCATTGTTCCTGAAGATGGAAAGTATTCTTCATGTTTCTCAAATGGCATCTCAGGAAATAGTTGATACTCTGGCACAAATCATGTCATTGTCAAAGCCTCTCATTAAAGAGACTCTGCATGATGTATTACAAAGGCATCAGGTTACTCCTTCCAAGGCAATCCTTAATGATTTGCTGAATGCTGTAAATGATGCAAATATTTTTGCTTGTGCCACAGCTAAAGGGGAGGACTTTTGTTCAAATAAACGTAGAAAAACGTTTATTGAAAAGAACTACCCTGTGGTAATGCCTGTTCAGTATGTATTGGAGCCTGGTTGTACAGCAATTCATGTCCCTATACTTGAGATGATCCAAAAAATGTTCCAACATACAGACATTCTTAACAGAATTATGGAAACCCATATCTCTCATGAGGGTCTTTACACAAGCCACAGAGATGGGTCATATTTCCAAGGAAATGAGTTGTTTTCTTCATCAGAGCTTTCACTGCCACTGATACTGTACATTGATGACCTTGAAATTGCCAATCCATTGGGCACTTCAAGGAAAATACACAAACTGTGTGCAGTATACTGGATGTTTGCTGATTTGCCAAGTAAATATCGTTCAGGTCTGCATGTCATTCAGCTAGCAGCATTATGTAAGGTACCTGATCTCCAAAGGTGTGGCTATGAAAAAGCATTTGGTCCTTTGCTACAAGATCTAAAAACTCTTGAGCAAGATGGTGTATTTATTGAGTGCCTCGGTAAATCTGTTAAAGGGACTATCATGTGCGTTGTAGCTGACAACCTGGCAGCCCACTCATTGGCTGGGTTTAGTCAGTGTTTCAGAACTGGATTTATTTGTAGGTTTTGCAATGCAACACGAGACCTAATTCAGTCTCATGATGTTGGAGATGGCAAGTTTAGCCTCAGAACAAAAGCCAGTTATGACCAAAATGTGCAGGAAGTTCTACATGGGGATGGTCATAGTCAGGCAGGTGTGCAACGGAGCTGCATCCTGACTGAAAGTTTGCAGTATTTTCATACAACCACAGGCTTCCCTCCTGATGTCCTCCATGACCTTTTTGAGGGAATTGTACCAGTGGAGTTGGCCATGTGTATTCAGGAGATGATTCGGCAGAAATACTTTACTCTGGAGCAGTTGAATAGAAAAATCTTGTCCTTTCCTTACCAACACTCCGATAAAGTTGACAAACCAAAGCCCATCTCAAAGAACTTCTCTACAAAGAGGACCATTGGTGGCAATGGCCATGAGAACATCACATTGCTGAGAGTACTGCCATTCCTGATTGGTAATGTAGTCCCTGAGGAAGATGCTGCTTGGACAGTGTTAATGGATTTGAAAGAGGTTGTTGAGCTTATGCTGTGCCCAAGATTTGATGAAGAGTCCATACAGTATTTGCAATCAAAGATAGATGACCACAGAAAAGTGCTGCAGGACACGTTTCCTGAGTTAAGACTGCTTCCAAAACATCATTATATAGAGCACTACCCAGCTCTTATACGTGCTTTTGGCCCACTTGTTCACTTATGGACAATGAGGTTCGAGGGTAAGCATCGCTTTTTCAAGAGGGTAATACATGACACACAAAACTTTAAGAATGTGTTAAAAACATTAGCAACACGGCACCAACACATGGTGGCCTACTACCTCAGTGCACCTTCATTTTTTCAGCCGCATCAGCAGACGACACACGTTACTTCTGCCATGGTTTCAGATCTTCCTGAAGTTGCACAAGAATACATAAAGGATAAAACTGACAGCAGAATTATTTACAGCACATCAAAGATCATTGTTGATGGCACAACTTACAGCCCTGGAATGTTTGTGTCTGTGGGGGAGGATGGGGGACTGCCACAGTTTAGCGAGATCAAAAAAATCCTCCTTGTTAACAGTGATGCCGCATTTCTTTGCAAAGAACACAGGTCAAACTACACTGAACATATGAGGTCATATGAACTCTACCCAAGTTGTATGGCAATCCACTGCATGTCAGAGTTTAATGACAGCTTACCCCTTTCTGCATACTACGTGGAAGGGAAACTACTTTTGACACCAAAACGTTTTATACTTCTACACTGAAAGTGTATTTGCATTATGTGATTTACATATAGTTAAAGATTTGTTCCACCCCAAAGTTTCAAAATGCAGATGCTATGTGTGTGTGCATGAGGGGGAGGGTTTTGTGGGGGTTAAGAGAGCAACATTAGACAGTAGTCTGTAAAAAGTAGTTTGCTACTAGAAGTTCTGTTTCCTTTTAGATGTATCTCACTGATTTAGAATCACATGATGTGTTTTTCCAAATATTTCTCCTGCAGTTTGTCTCTGTTTTGTAAAATAATTGCTGTGTAAATTCTTATGTATTGTTTGTATGCCTGGTGAGAAAATGTAGATTATGATGTAAATCCCTAAAACTGAAATAGGGTTAGTTTCTACCGTGACTAAATGAAATGATGGCCTGTGACTATGTAACATGTGAAATACTTACCTTTGTTCTGGACTGTTGAAAGATTGGCCATAAAATGCTAGAATGCACCCAAAGTAACCAGCATAAATAGTAAGTTTATTTTGTTATGAAATTTACAGTGTACGTTTTAAATTACAATTGGAAAACAGGACTAAAATATATTTGACCCCCACTCACACCTACATTTTTGACAGCTGTAATGATTGCTGAGTATACAATTATCAGACCATGTAAAGGCTATGTGTATGCATTACCACAAGAGGTACTGCTCCACTTGTGACAGTAAATCTTTTGGGCTATTGCTTGGTACTCAGATGCCAATTCTGAGTACCACTCTGCCATAAAAGGACACATAAAAAAAGGTTAATGGTATGGTGTTCATTGTTTTTATATGTGTTGAGACCATTGTAGTATCTTTTAATCATCTCCATTCCTTGCTTTATACACAGGATGATGGCAGCATCTCAGAAATTCCTGCTGAGAGTTTACATCACTACAGATGTTGTTGTGAAGGTTTCTCTAACTAAGCGGCCTGAGTCAGTGGAAGAACTAATCACCATACTCCGGGAGAAGCTCAACCCAAGGCTGGACTTTGAGTTTACCTTACAATACGAAGACCCTGACTTTGATGGGCAGCTTACCTGTCTACATGATATTCAAGAGCTACTGGAGAAGAGCACATTAAAAATAGTGCGATCCGAAAGTGATGCCAGTTCTTGTGCAAGTTCTGACACAGACATCCTTCCTCATGTGCCTTTAGCTCAGCGTCTGAAGTGTTGGCCTGACACTTTCCCAGTACCTACCTTTTCTTACGAAGTCGAACATGTCCTTGAGAAGGGAAATAAAGCCTTTGAGACATCTGGAAAGCAACTGAAATTGACACGAGCCCAAAAGCACAACATCTTGGAGACCATGGCTTCAGTGATGCACACCTTCAAAGCCTACCCGAGTGACAGAGATGTGTGTTTGGCAGCAAAAGCTCTTGTTACCACTCATCCATGTCTTAATGAGCCTGGAAGTAGGAATGGAAGTTATGGTTGGAAGACCAGTTTAAAATTTAAGATGGGAAATTACCGCACCAAGCTAGCCAGAGCCGGATGCGCGGAGGTGTCCGTGAATGCTGGTAGAAGGAGTATCAACAACCCAGAAGGAGAGTATCCCCACTCCAACATAAAAAGAGCACGAAAAGCTGAGGTAAACTACCTCCCAAACTTTCCAAGAGGAGAAGATAAGGCCAGTCTGGAGGAACTGAGAATCCAGATAAAAAATGAGGTTGAGAAGACCGAGCCCAACAAAGTAATGATTGAAAAACTGATGCAAACAACCTTTGCACTGCGTCGCCATGAGATCGTTCAAGAAAACCCAATGGTGAAGGACTTCTTAAAGAAATGGCCAGCTCTGCGATTTCACTCACAGGTTGGTGTTGCACTGATTTTTTTTTCTTATTCAATTTAACTTGAAACAATGCAAGTTCAGCAGATCTTCAGATTCAGATTTATTTATTGAACATGTTAAAGTACTTCTTATAAACATTGTTCAAATAGGTAGAAAAAATATCTTAAAGCGCTACAACTAAGCACCCTATTAGTTTTGGTGCATCAACATTAACTTCATTTGCTGCCAGACGTTTCCTGATCGGTAAGTCCCTTTCGCTGCCAGTGTTTCTCACCGATTTTACAGTTTTTTTTAAGAGTCACAGAACATTGCGTGCTAGGATGTTGACGCCAAAACAACCAAAACAACGTGGAGACTCACCATAAATCATGAAGAATCTGCACATTTCGAGCGTTATCCGTTCTTTCATAATCCGTTGTTGAATTGTGATCGGCAGAAGCTTTTCCGGTTCGCACGTCACTTTTTTTACAGCAGCCACCCAAAATGATCTAACACATGGATTTTCTACTTCCTGATCATGTCACGTGTGACGTATGCGGATGAAGATCGGCTTTAGAGGTGAGAGGTTCAGTCACGATGCGGAGGCTCATTCCAACACCCACACAGTAAAAACATTCAAATGGCGACTTAAGTCTTCATTGGCAGCGAACGGTGGGATCTAAAATGACTCTTCAATGACAGTGAATGAGTTAAGCCGGGCGTACACTGTGCCACCTTTTCACTCGTGCCACCTTTTCACTCGTAGCACTCAGCTTCAGCTCAAACTGTACAACTTCCTCGCAGGACAGATCTCACGAGTCATGTGCTCACACTGCACGACCCAGTTCTCAGTTGCGACCTGACTGCTCACACTGTACGTCTGGTAGCAACATGCCGGCCCTAAAAATATGCTAAAAATAGCAGTTTTTACTCAACACGTCAGACTTTTTTGTCTTGTTTTGCCTGTTGTCCTTCGGGAGTGCTGCAGGAGGACACACAGGGATTTATGGGGGTTGGATGAGGAAAACGAAATAAAGAAAGTAAATCTGTGTTTAGTGATCAGTTTAATTTGACATGAACACGACAAACACGCTTTCTTGACAATCTTTGTGAGTAAAAAAACGTGTAGAAATAAAAATGAACAGCGTGTGTTATTAGGGAAATAGCGGGTGAGCGGTGTTGATGCTGGATTGCGCATGCGCCGTGAGCGGTTCTGGTACTTTTTGGGTTGCAGCTGCTCGCAGCGCCGCTTCAACAATGCGATACCCTCACGAGGGACGAGCAAAATATTAAACATGCCAGAAGTCTGTGCGAGCTCACGACTGCTGATCGGTAGCTGGTCACGTGGTGTTAATCGCCTCTCGTAACCCCCTGTACACTACACGACGCTCGGCGCAAAACTCACCCCGATCTCGTGGATTCTCGCACGAGTGGAAAATCTGCTCAAAAAAGTGAAAAAGTCGCACAGAGTACGCCCGTCTTTAAGTAGACAGGCTTGCTGAGTCTATAATGTAGGAACTGATGTTCTCTTGAATTAAAGAGAAGTTTTCTTACATTCATAGGCTCATGATGCAAAAAAATTTATTTCAGATTTGTGATACAATTGTGCTGGAAAGGTTAAGTTCAAATTGAAAAACAAATGTTAAAATGACGGCATTAAGATAAAACTGGGCACAAATTTGGAAATCCCTCTTTAAATATAAGATTTCTCAATTTGACCAGTAATTTTGCTTTATATTGGATGTTTTCATGTTCCTGTATTTTTAGGTTTGTGCGGAGTTCCACCGAGTCACAAACATCAACCTGCAGAAACAGTTCTATGCTGAACTTGACAGACACACACCACGACTTATGGCTCTATACAGACAGAAGTCCACACGCACTGGCAAGATATCGGAGGCTCTGCGAAACATTCTGAATCATTATGATCATCAGGTGAATATTGATAAAGATAAAATTGCTACCACAAATTTAAAAAGTTTCTATGTTAATCACTCAATTTTGCTTGTTTTTAGACTGCCTATGGGCTACTGTTAATTGCTGGGGACATCTGTTTTCTATATACACCAAAGACAAATATAAATGCAACACTTTTGTTTTTGCTCCCAGTGTTCATGAGCTGAACTCAAACATCTGAAACTTTGTCCACATTCACAAAACACCCATGACTTTCAAATACTGTTCTGAAATCTGTCTACATGTGTGTTAGTGAGCACTTATCCTTTACCAAGATAATCCATCCCACCTCACAGGTGTGGCATATCGGTGGGCTGATTAGACAGCATGAGTAATGTACAGGTGTGCCTTTGACTGCCCACAATAAAAGGCCACCCTGAAATGTGCAGTTTGATCAAACAGCACAATGCCACAGATGTTGCAACCTTTGAGGGAGCGTGCAATTGGCATGCTGACTGTAGGAATGTCTACCAGAGCTGTTGCCCATGAAAGGAATGTTCATCTCTCTACTATAAGCTGTCTTCAAAGGCGTTTCAGAGAACTTGGCAGTACATCCAACAGGCCTAAAAAAATGGGAGCAAAAACAAAAGTGTTAGTCTTGATTACCCTGAAAAAAACTGTTTAAGATTTTTGTCAAACGAGTAAGAAACAAGCTCTTTGTCATGAGAGACAGAAAGGTTGTGTCTCAAAAGAAATGTCTCCAAAATTATGCAGAGCCGAATGTGTCATAAACATGTATTCTCCCCAGGCAATGACACCTGTAAACTTAGTATTAAATTAACTCTTATTTTCTTTTCCCTTTTTAGGAAGCACCTGATGTCGATGTGAAACGGACTGCAGTGCTACGTGCCCTTCCAGTATACCTGCGGGAGGAAGACCCAGAATTCTTTAAGACATGTGATGTAAGTGTCTCTTGCATTACTTAAATTCTACCAGTGAGATAACACACCATGGATTATTTTATACGGTTTTATTACAAAGCAGCTTCACAATTGCTCTAACAAACATTGCATTAGACTTGTGTGTTTTTTTGGGGGGGGGGGGGTCAAATTAGGGTGTGTGTGTCACAAGTGGGGGTGGGGGGAGGCAAACCCAAATAGATTGCGCACACGCAGAAACCCTGATTTCGCTATTGACCCTTTGCACTTGACTGCCCCGTTCTCCATGATGGTCGGCAAAAAGACCGTTTACACACGTCAAAATTCTGGTCAAAACAAGCCCGTTTGTAGCCTTTTATCGCTTTTATTTACTTAGTTTCACAGTAAAATGGTAACAACTTGCTACGTGGCCAGCTGCACTAACAGAAGGATGTAAAGTCAACTCATTTCTTTATTTTTTTTTTTCAAATAACGTTGATTGAGACTGAGGACGGAGATGAACTACAGCTATCAATCAAACGGACTAGCAACCCTCAGGTTTACAGCGAATGTGTTTTTACCGGGTAAAATTAACGTTTATTTATTTCATGATGAGGACAGGGACAAATGTGATGCGTTCTTCTGATGGATGGATATTTCATCATGGAAGACGCACGCATACCTCGGTACCGTCCACTGTAGTGAACATGCATATTACACCAGAATTCTGTCACCCCGTTTTTTTAAGATGGCGACTGCACGTCTTATGTTTATAAATGTTCTTCTGTAGCTGACAAGCAGAGCTAAAACACGTTGTTTTACAAGTATTATTCTCATGTCATGATGTGTTTTCATATAGTTATATTTTAAACACTTGTCCATGAAAAGTTCATCAACTCTACATCAGCCAGGTACTTCCTTAAATTTGAAGCAGGAACGCGGTAGTCTAAACGCTACTGATTAATTCTGGTCGGCGCTCATTTTCCTATTTCGCGGGGCAGGGGAACAAACTTTCTGCTTCCTGTTTTGTTGCTCTCCTGTGTCTTCGTTTTGTTTCTTTCTCACATTATTTTTGAAGTTCTTTTTTTCATGTGACGAGGTTGGCATCCTGTTTCTCCGACTTGTTTTACTGCAGGGTTTTGCGTTAACGCACCAACAAAACCATACCTGTCGGTAGATTTGTAGCGAAGCGTTGATGACGTCGACGGCTCGATTCTAAAAATTCTTTGACGTCAGATCCAGTAGTCGACGCACCATGCCCACTTGTTGCATCCCCAGGAGTTTGTAAATAGAGGTGGAATCTGCCTGTTTTTCCTCTAGTTCGCCCTCTTCTCCGCCTTCACTAACATCTCTGCCAATTACCGAAGACCCGGAACAATGTCCGTCCGCTACTAGATTCCTTTCCTGTTTTGCCCGCCTTCGTCTCCCGCTCGATACCCAACCCTAGTTACTATAAACACACAAATCTAATTAATTAATTTACACATTTTCTAAAAGAATAGTAAATAGAGAACTCTTGATGTGTCACTAACGTGTTACCCACAAGACTGCAGAATATTTTGCTAGATTACAAATAATGCTTGTCACGGCCTTCAAGTCAACCTTACTTATTGATACTGTGTTTATTCCAGGCGGGCACGCTGGATGAGACGAACCTGACTGACACTCCAGTTGCCCTTCTCACAGTGGTTGCTGACGGCGCTGCTGAGACCAGTCCAGTCCATTTCAGTCCTTCAAGCATGGCTATTGTGGTGGAAGGTGACTTGGTGATCCGTGATATTGCCAGATTTGCTGATGCATATGCCTTATTGTTTGGCTTGATCTATGCTCTGCATTTGGACTACCCCAGGAAACTAGTTCACACATTCACCTTTGTCCAGAAAGTCTTCATGGGGCTTGATGATGGCAAACCACTGAAACCCAGCCTTCATGCTCTTAGAAATGATTTGTTACAGATTGAGTAGTTATGAAAGATATGCAAGGCAACTGGTTGTTAGGACAGGCACACTGTTACTGAGCACCTTCTTTGAAGTATTTTATTTAAAGCACTTTTAAGTTTTCTACAGGCTTTGGGTGGATGTAATTCCCATAAGTTTACCTCATTTTTTTATACAAAGTTATTTGGGTGCCGATAAACATTATTTGAACCTGTTTAAAAAACATTTATTTTATTTAATTTTTGTTTATTTAAAAAATCTCTTTTGTGTTTGACCTTTTGTTTTTCATTTTTATATATTAGAAGACGTCAAAGAAAGATGACTTTTAGGACTGACGTTCTTTTATGATTTTATAAAAATGTTATTAAATGTTATTAGCAGCATTTTGTATGCTCACTTGTGCTCCAGTCCATGTCAGTGGTTCCTGTTGGTGGTTTTATAAAACAAATGTATGTGATGTTTTTCACAAGTCCATAGATATGTTAATAAACAAAATGTTAAATGAATCGCCGTATACTTTTTTGAGTGGTCCACACACAATTAATAAAGGTAATTTAATTAGTTAATAATCATATTATTTGAGTTTAGGTTGTAATATAATTACATTCTGTTGCATCAAATAATTTAACTACAACTAACACAAAAATGTTAAAATTAAAATATATAAGTTTTAAGTTCATCTTAATTATTAAAATATAGAATATTATCTGAAAATTTTAAGTTAACAATAAATAGAAATTTTGAGCACCACCATACTTAAAATATATGGTTTGTCTACTTAAAACTTTTGTGGAAACTGATTACCTCAAAAATTTTAAGTTCAGTCAACTTATTCGGGTTTACAGTGTAGTTGGATTCAGACTATTTTTCCATCCTCTGAAGGAAAGAGAAAATTAAAATTGGCGCACACATTAAGTCACGATTGCCTCACCTATTTCCAGCTCTCATTGTACAGCCAGGCCCGGAGAAAACAAGCAGGACCAGGCTAAACTATAGAAGAAATCTGGGTCATACATATCACCTCGTTAAAATGAGAACAGGCCATCCAGCTGACATTCAGATGGCGCCCGGAGCAGTTTGGAGCTTTACTGTAAACTGATGCAGAAGAGCAGATTCTGAAGGGACGACTCACTCCAGTAAATCTGGACATGCGGGACACTAGGAATCAGCTCATTAAACATTCATTAAATCTAGGCCACACATCTAAATAAACCCTAAAAGAAACAACAACCACCTGATTAAACGTTGCACTGCAAAACCAAACTGCTCCATGGACTGATTTAATCAAACAGCTAATAATTTATCAATGTTAAGAAATTTACGTGGCCTATCCAGCTCCTAATGAAGCAAAGCTTTAGTAGAAAACAAAACTCAAACTGAATGAAGAGCTAAATGTAACGTGAAACGACCAAATGTTAAAAAGTCTGCCACCCCTTTGTAATAAGGTGTCCTTAGTAAAAAGGTAATAGAAATGTTATTAACTCATCTGTAAAACACATAATTAAAAACTGATTATTAAATATTATTAAAGGGAGACAAAGGGACAAAACTGACCGGCTTCTTGCCAAATAATGAGCCAAATATGTTCACCTATACATTTAATCTATAATTGCTATTTGGAAAATACATTGTAATGACTATTAAACATGTAGAAATGGCAAAAGGGAGCCTCATTGTACCACATAGTTTTAAGTAATGTCACAAGGCTTGTTTACATATTTATGAATGCTAAATAAGGCACTGTAAAGTGCCTTGGGGGTTGTAAAACCCTTGAAGGCGCTATATCAAATACGGGCCATTTACCATAACATTTTGTACAAAATACTGTTAACAGTAAGTGTCGGTCCTATTTGTAACGGCATGAAATGACTGCTTTCCACCAAATGTCATTTTCCCTCTACCCTCTGACTCAGGATTAGTCTGCATGAGATATCGCCTCAAGGTCTCATGCATTTGCTTCTAACCTGCTTCTTTTCAGCTCAAAGAGAAGAATGAAGAATGGATTCTCGCCTTTTAATTAATCAAAGAACTCTATTTTAATAAAGCTAATCAACCAAGTGTTAGTCAATAAAGAGATGTGACCAATCTGTGAAACCAAAATATTAATGACTTTATTATAATCCTATAGAATGAGTAATATGGCTTTAAATGTTTCACTAGGACTGATCACACATAGCGTTAAAAGACATGACACATGACTTTCACTGATCCAATCAGAATCTGCCAGATCTGACAGAGGCATGGTTTTGGTGGTGTTTGGTAAATCTGTCAACTTTTCATTCGACCATAAACCAAAACATCCAAAGTATAAAACTATGCCCACGTCATCTCTAACGCCAGTTCAAAGCATTCTAGAGAAGTTGTCGGAGTGGCCAATCCGTAACTTTCCTCTTCAACCAAATGAACCAACGACAAGCTGGATAAATCTGTTGCATTTTACCAACCAAGCAACGGTTACTTTCAAAATAAAAGCTGAACCATCACGACCCAGGTTTGGGTCTTGTCAGACGCAGATAAACTGTCGTGACCCTGAAGTATCTCAAGACTGGTGGTTGGGCTGCCGCAGTTGATTCTACAAGCTTCGGCTGCAGACGTCCAGGCTGGACCTCTACACCTCCTGATCTAGACGAGGACCTCCACAAGGGTTCGTAGACCGACAAATGGCGTCAAATGTTTTTGTGAATCTCCTAATCTCAGCTTAGCGCGAACCATCACCTTCAGTTCCATCAGAACTAATCGCTTCTTCGGATATGCTGGTTCTGAGCAACATTACACTCACACCATTCTCTGTCATCCACCTTAGTTACACCATACACTTAATGTTTAGAGTTAGTCTAGTTTAAATTGTTTTTAATAAATCTTTAAACTTTTAAACGTGACTCTCTTCTGTTGTCTCTGAGTGAATACGAAGCTGTTGTCTAATCCCTCCATTAAAAAGTTCCAATCTTCTGGTTTAAAATAACCTCACAGATCCATAAGGTGGATTTCATATTTCCTATGGAATCCTACGCCTTATGGCTTATTAAATAACATGTAATTTAATTTCATTACATATTGTTACAGTTGTTTACTGACCATAAATAAATGGTGCCATGTTTTACGCTTTACAGCAGGGGTGTCAAACTCAAACTCACACGGGGCCGAAATGAAACTCTGGGACGGAGTCGAGGACCAAACTTAATATTTTTTGAAAAAGTGATGGCAAATTTGCACGTTTTCTTTATCAACATATATGCAATTTTGAACCTTTAAATTTGGAAACAAACTTATTTCTGCATTAACACTGAATGTGGAATAACCAAATGACACACGAGCAAGTCAGTTTTAAATAAAAGGCATCAGTGGTATTCATTACTTGTGGTATAATCAGCATTTTATAAATCTATTCAGGATTTATGTTTTCTTGTTTATTCATTTTTTTTATTTTTTATTCTCCTTTTTTTCTCCTGTAATACGTGTCATTGCTGCTGTGACATCTAGCCTTCCCCACTGAGGAACAATAAAGGGATTTTCGATTCTATTCATCTATCTGCAGCCTTTCCACTTCCTGTTTACTGTAGGTTAAATCTTTTCTCATGGGCCAACAACAAAATAAAAATATCATTTTATCTTAAATGAAAATGCAACATCTCACCTGTTAACTTTCATGTTTTGGAGCAGAAAAAGAGCATAAAACCAACATATTTAAAGCTCAGTTAGCTCCACTGGTTTACTGTGATGCTCACCTGTTCCAGCCAGATACCTGCATCATGGGGTTGATCTGAGCTGAGGAGGAGACTCCTGTTGTTTTGTTCATCTTCATCATAATAATGACAACATTAGATGACAACAGGTGCTCACATAGGTTTGTGCTGATGAACATGTCTGAGCAGCTTGACCACGTTGTTGTGTGTCGGGGAGGAAACACAACCACAGAGTCATGCTGGTTTGAGCATGTCGCTGCTCGCTGGAGTTATATCAGCTCTGTCTGGACGTTAGTTGGAAAACTTTTTCTTTCAGTCGTGAACACATTCTGAGCGGCTAGAATCTCAGTTTCTGGGCTTCAACGTCAGAAAACAGCTGAGTGAACTTGGCGCTGAGTGAGAGGAGCGTAGTTTGTCCGAGACAGCGGAGCTGCTGACACCTGCAGCAGACGCTGGAAAAACACAAAGGAGGGGGCGCGTCAGCTCCGCGCTGACGCCACAAAGCATCATGGGAGTTGAAGTCTTTGCGGTAAAATCGGCCAGCGGGCCAGTTTTAATATATTTTTGATATTTATCTCGCGGGCCACATAAAAATGCTCCGCGGGCCAGGCCTTGACTCTGACATATGTGCTTTACAGTATGGCTCCATTTGACAGTTGTTAATATTTATAAAGTAGATTATTAGATGCTAAATTATGTTCATATTATTGTCTCAAATGTTTCAGTTACAGGTGAAATATGTAGGAGAACAGATTAGGCTCATTATTTGGCAAGAAACTGGTCTGTTTTATTGCTTTCTTAACCTCAATTAATGCTATTATTTGTATTAATAGTTTATAAAGCATTCAAAGATAAATATCTATACTCATATTTATGATCTAATCATTTGCTTTTAATGGCGCCACGATACTCACGGTTGGGAGTGTGCCGTCTCGTAACGTTCAAAGGGATGGCTGAGATTGTGCTTTTTGTTCATGTAACACTGAGTACACAGGTCGTAGCCGAAGCACACCTTGCACTTCCATCTCATTCCCATGATGCCGTGCGTCTTGCAGCTGTCACAAATGACAATGGAGTGACGCACCCCTGCAGAGGAGGAAGAAGTGAAAAGGGAAAGCAAAAGACAAGATTTATGTTTCTATTTTAAGCTCAGAGAAACACTTCGTGTTCAAACTGTGTCTCAGCTTGTACGGCAACGTTTTGTTACAATAATGACAACTAGAGGCAAAGAAAACCTAAAAAAAGTTCTTGATTCTATTCTGATATAAATGATAATGAACAACAAAGAAGCACAAACATGATGATGAAAAACAACTCTTTTGGTCCAGTCACTGAAAGGCAAGCTTCTGAAGCAGAAACATGTTTTAAATGGAGCTAAATGCTAATGAGTCCCACGTTAAAGCGTATCATTCAGGTTGAAAATAGAACTGGATGGTTGATGACGCGAGCCTTTAAAATTGGCTCTAAGTCCTCATAAATGCACCCAGTGAATGAACACAAGACAAACAGGATCATTACAGCTAATAGAGAAATAAATGAGGCAACATTTTACATTTATACAAACAAGCATAAAAGCTTACTTCATGTGTTAGATATTAAAAATGATCTTTTAAATAAACAAAAATTCTAAAGGACCAACTTTTTTAAGGAGGCATTGCAGACGTCAGCTGAGATTAGATTCCCACTGCCTGCTGAGCTAACCAGCCACACAACAGTTTGCAAACCTGGTCACAAGAGCGGGGTTAGGGTTAAGGTTTCTAAGCAGAGATACTAACTAGTCCTGTGTCAGATTGTTCAAAATGTATTTGTTACGTCCCAAGCTGTCTGGAATGAGCTCATGGACCAAATACAGCTCAGGAACGTCCAGTTGATGATCATTTTAAAGGAACTGTGCAACTAAGACCTTATTTGCTTCATAAAAGGTCTATTTAAAGGTATAGCAATTGATCTTTTATTTTCGGGTGGATCACGTCAACCATTGGTCCGCGTAACTGTCAATCATTCTGGCGAGCGTGAGTCCGTCGTACGTGCTCGCCCCTGGGTCGCCCCTCTCCACGGACTGGTAGAGGGGTGTACATGCGCATTTTAAAGAACGTTGAGTGGGCGGTTAATCAGAAACATCGATTGCTACACCTTTAACACAATGTATTTGTTTATATTTGTCACAGTGATAAATGATGTTAAATGTTTTTACTGCAGCCTGACGTTGCTTACCAATTTGAGCGTTATCGTACAGCAGCAGGTCGTAGGCTCCCTCAGATCCAGTACGATAGTTGGTCCGTGTGCCACTGTCCCACTGAACCAACACCGTCTTGTCCGGGGTCGTAGTGCTGTCCTGCCGACCGATCTCCACCACCGTGCCCACATGCCCCTCTCCGTCGTCCTGGTTTCCCCACTTCCAGTCAAGGCCACGCACCACACGCATGCCCACCTTCATGCTGCCTCGGCTGGGGCCTGGCCTACAGGCTGAGGGCAAAGGCTGGAGCCTGGCAGCACTGTCCCCTCCTCTTCTGCGCCGCTGCTTCTTCTGGGAGGCAGAGCTGGACCGCGCTGATGGCATCACCGGCACCAGTGTTGTCTCTGGGAATAGATCGGGGTGACTGAAAGAGAAAGAAATCGGGAAGCGAGCCAGCTTGGATCTGTTCCTCTAAATCTCTAAACCTGTGTGCTCTTTCACACAACCTGTGTACAGCTGTCAGCGACTGCTAAGGGATTCAACACGCCATATGTCTTATTAATTTCAGAGCAGTGTTCTTCTCTTGGCTGGTGGGTCCTTCACTGGAGGCCTCGCTGTGTCATGGCACACTTCTGGAGGGAGCAGCTGGACTCGACAGTTACGCCCTACTGCGTTAATCAGGCTCTGACCTGACACAAACACACACTATACACTAGGGTTGTCACGGTATGAAAATTTAACCTCACGGTTATTGTGACCAAAATTATCACGGTTTTCGGTATTATCGCTGTATTTTTTAAACAGTGTTGCATATGTTCAGAAAGCATTGATAGTCCTGTTCTACACAAACTGAAATAGTTTTGAAAAGGTTTAACAGTGTTTATTAAACCTAAAATAACACAAAGCCTTAGCAAAAGTGCAACTTTTCACAAGTAAAGGAACAAATAGCTTATTTTTCTGGAACATGTTACAGTAGTCAGTGCAGGTTTAAATTATACAAATCCAAACATTCAAAACATAAACAATATGTAGACAAATCAAAGAAACACCACTTGTTTTCTCATATACTTGTTTTCTTCATTTTCAAAATGAAAATCTAAAACTCCAGTCCACACTTGACTTGAGCACTGTACAAGTCAACCTTAAAAAATATGTATTTAAAACAAATAGCCACTTTAAACAAATTACTAAAATAACTACTACACTATGTAATCAAATCCAAATGTTCAAGTATAAATTGCATTGATTAAGTAAACAAATCAATGACAAGGAACTAATTGTATATTTCTCTTCATCATCAACAAATAAGATGCTTCATCCAGCAACAGGGTGTCCGTGACACGGTTTAAATGCTGGCAGAGGACGCTGCGGCTGCAGTCTATAGTGACTCGTTGCATTCTCCCTCAACCAAAAGTCCTCACGTCATGCATTTAAGCTAAAATGCTAATGTTAACTTACCTTGCACCGGCTGTAGAGACGTGGGTGATGGTCACGCAGATGTGCCATTAGATTTGAAGTGTTGCTGCCTTTTGCAGACACTTGTTTCCTGCACGTTCTGCAAACGGGATAGCCGTCTTCTATTAACTGTCCCTCAACATTTTTTCAGAAATCAAAATATGCCCATACTTCCTATTTAGTCTTCTTTGAGGGCTGATGGATGTCCTGGGCGCTGCCGTCTCCTCCTTCGGCCATTATTTCAGCTTCAAAGTTTTGGTGCCATTGCAAACTAAAAAGTGCGTGTGCGCGCCGCGGGAACTTCAGCTGAAGCGACGGTGGCTGGTAAGGGTCACCGCGCCGAAACCGCGGCCACGGTAAACCCACCGAGCTAATTTAGTTTTTTTAAAACTGGACGGTTATTTTTATTGTCAACTTTTTTACCGGGGTTTACCGCTATACCGGTTACCGTGACAACCCTACGGCGTCAGTTTGTTTTCAGAATTGCTGGGGACAATAACCATACACTTGAGTGGGGTTTAAAAATTGCTGGGGACAATAAAGTAGGCTAGCAAAGGGGTCGGCGGCTCTGGAGCCGCATGCGGCTCTTCCATCCATCTGATGCGCTCTCTGTGCTTGTAAAATAATGAATGGATGTTTAAATAAAAAGCTTTATATTTTACTGCATTAATTTTACATCTGTATGCCAATTCTAAATGTAAAGACTGTCTGCGTAAACCTGAACAGGTCCAACCCGGTCTTACTCTGAGACCGGGTTGACGCGTCACGCTTGTGCGTAATCATATCGGCGCATTCTGAGCTGGAGGATGTCAGATTGTGGGCTTCTCCTCAGACAGGTTCCTGGATGCGTCGCCACATTGGAGACAGGAACAAGCACTATTCAGCCAAAGTTTCATAATCAGGTGTGGCAGTGTGAGTGTCCTGTCACAGTGTCCCGATAGATAATGCGCCATAGGCGTCATTTTAACCGGGGACGCCGGGGACATGTCCCCGGCAAAATTTGTGATTGGCAGCTGTGTCCCCCCCACTTTCAAAAAAGCCTGCTGATGAGGATTTTTGTTTTACCAGCTGAGATCTTATACCAGGGGTCGGCAACCTGTTCCCATCAAAGAGCCATTATTACCCGTTTCTCACAGTAAAGAAAACACCGCAGCAGCCGCGGCGTTGTGGGCGGGGCCTACCCTCAGACAGCAGAGAGCTGCTCACAACCAGGTGACAGCAGCAGGTAATGGTCGCTCGCATGGGCGTCGCACCCGTGGGGGATTCAACACCCACACTTTTCCAGCTGTTTTGCTCACCTCCACACCAGTCTGGTTTCTTTATGTCGCACTCACTCTGTTTGCCTCATCTCCTTCTTCACCTCCCGCTTCTGACAGCCGATGTCGGGTTTCCAGGAGAGCAGGAGAGGGAGGGACGGAAGAGCTCGACTGAATTCATCATTTTACATCTTGACATTAGCTGTACAAAGTCTGAGTTTGATAACGTGAAGATCAACAATTTGCAGAGGTTTATAACAGGCGCGGCGCCAGGTTTTCATTTTTGGGTGGGCCACGGTAATTCTGGACGGACCTTAATAAGCAGTGGCTTAAGTGAAGCAGGCAGGTCGCGCTAGAAAATTTCGTTTAAAAATACGTCATAAATGTGTTCCCCCGTCATTTTTATTTCTAAAATATGAAGTAAAAACTCCCAATTTAATTTTCATTCATTTGTCATTAATATGTAGTCTACACCCGTGCGTTAAGTGGACCATCTTCTAGTAAACGCAAAGCATCCCATCTCTCCAAATGCGTAAAATGTGCACCACAGCCGTTAAGCCTGGTTTATGCTTCTCCGTCAGCTCCGCAAGGGACAGACACGCACGGATTGACGGAAGCGTTTTGCTCTCATGCTTCTCCGTCTCCTGGAGAGTGTTGCAAAGCAATTGCCCAGCAGGACAACAGAGGGCATAGCGCTGTTCTGTGGTATCCTGTCATGTATCGGTCCAAGATAGTGTGTTTATATTGTGTTTTTTGTGTATATAAGAGACTTTTAACACGGACATATTTGTCTCTCATTCTCCCACCGCTTCATGCGCTCCCCACCTCTAAACCCACGTTTCCTGTCATTTCCGTCCACAAATAAAACACTTGCTGCGCATCTTTTCACTCCTCCAGTCACGGGAGGATGAAACGTCCATATTTTTAGAGTTTTTTCGCGAGGTATTCTTCAAGCTTCTCTGTGTCTGCCGCAAGTTATCCTCGGCTCGCTTTGCAATGGCGGCGCTGTAAACAACAGCGGCGTCCTGACCAATCACAAGCTTGCGTTGTCCGTCTCATTCGACGGATGTTTAAAAAAGTGGGCTCGACTCTGTACGTACTTGCGGGCCTGCCAGAGCCCTACGCAAGGACGGATAATGACGTTGCGTGTCTCCACACTGACGCAGACGGAGAAGCATAAATCAGGCTTTAGGCGCGCCGCGCGCACCGTCAGCTACATCAGTCCAGACGAGAGCAGAGCGAATAGAGGATAATTGTGTCTGGATGTGGATGGAGATTACATTTTACAGCAGCCTGATCATCATTTAAATAAAACCATCACCTGTCTTCTAGTCCATGCTATCAGCATTATTTTAATTGGTGTGTGTGTGTGTGTGTGTGTGTGTGTGTGTGTGTGTGTGTGTGTGTGTGTGTGTGTGTGTGTGTGTGTGTGTGTGTGTGTGTGTGTGTGTGTGTGTGTGTGTTTTCCACTTCCAACACTGGTCTAACCAACCAGACCAGCGTGTCCAGTAACATATTAATGTTACAATTAAACAGTTTCACTTCATGTAGGCTAGGAACGTTTCACCTGCCGTGGCCCGACCGCTTCTGCTCCACATAAACTTTGTGCGTGATCAAATGTCTCTACAGGTTCTTTCTGAGCTGAAGAGGCGATTCTGCCTCAGACTGGATGCGTCATGCGTCTCCATATTAGAGACGGGAAAAAGCGCTGTTCAGCCAAAGTTTCATAATTTCATAAAAAGAACATTTTTCCAAGCTCATCCATGCGCATCAGTGTGCGTTGGGGTAATTCTTTCAAAACAGCCAGCATCCTTGAGTTTATCCATCAAAATACAGTCAAATGGAAATATCTGTAACCTGCCATTTAACTGTTTTGCCTTCTTGTGAAGATTGTTGCAAAGAGAAACAATTAAACTTGATTAACCCCAGAGCCACGCCCACTGCGCTGTACGTCGTGACTGTAAATGAGGGGAAACGATTTAATCGGATCCTTTTCTTTTCAACATGGTTTAATGTAAAGTTTCATTCAGTACAAACTTTAGTTACACCAATCTAACGAGACAGAGCCTGATTTGTATTCTGAACAGTTTAAACATGTTTAAAACGGAGACATGCGTGACGCTCTAAAATTCGCACCTGCTCCGCTATTATGGAAATTAAACTAACAAGATGAATAACATCAAATTATTTTAGGCACAGACAACATCTCCCACACTTTTGAAAATCTTGCAATGCGCCTGGTCGCTCGTGTACGTCAAAGTTATCTTTCATAAGACGATAATCAATAAAAATATTTATATAAAGATGATCCAGAAGTTGTAGCCCGTCTCTGCCTTCAATATTTTGATATTTTTCACCCTGTTGGTGGTTTTACTGAGCAGGTGCCACTTTTGTCATACGTTTCTTTTAAAAACATGTTTAGACTGTTCAGAATACAAATCCAGGCTCTCAGAACCAGAGCGCATGTGGAAGGTTCCTCCCACTGAAGCGAGTGTTTTCCAAACCCTGTCTCTCAGAGAGACTTGTCACTTAGAAAATGTTCCCTGATTATGAAACTTTGGCTGAATAGTGCTTGTTCCTGTCTCCAATGTGGCGACGCATCCAGGAGCCGTCTGAGGAGAAGCCCAGAATCTGACATCCTCCAGCTCAGGAAGCGCATATGATTACGCACAAGCGTGACGCGTCAACCCGGTCTCACAGTAAGACCGGGTCG